TCATAAACACTAGAGTGTCGGATCCCGGAAATATCAAGATACCGATGTACGACGGCACGACCGATCCCAAAGCACACTTGCAAACCTTTGAGATCACGATGGGAAGGGCCGATTTCAGGAAACGCGAACGAGACGCCGACCAATGCCACCTCTTTGTTGAAAATTTAAAGGACCGGCGCTCCAATGGTTTTCTCGCTTGAGGCGCGACTCTGTAGGAAGTTTCCGCCAACTAGCATCGGAATTTCTCAAAAAATATTCGATGTTCATAGATCGTGAAACTTCGGACGTCGACTTCTGGAGTCTATCCTAGGGGGAAGATGAGCCTCTCCTGGATTTCATAAAGAAGTTCAAACCCGTCATGGTACGGGTAAGCGGAATCAGCGACAAAGTAGCCATCGACGCACTCCGCAAAGCTCTCTGGCACAAGTCAAAGTTTAGAAAATGGATAACCTTGGAAAAGACGCGAACGATATATGACGCTCTCCATAAAGTTACCGACTACTTCATCATTGAAGAAGAAACAAGGGTCATGTCAGAGAAACATAAGCCGACAAGGACATCCTCGAAAGATCTCAGCCCGAATCAAAAGTCCAAAAACAAAATCTCTTGTAGCTATAAAGAGGACACCCAGAGGGCCCACAATTATGCCATCAACTCTAGACCGGAATCAGGGCGCACCATGGGCAATATGTGGATCCAAAACTCCGTTTACGGTGAAAACGTCTTCTGCGACTTCCACAAAACCCAGTCGACTGTCAATTGCAAAGTCCTTGGAGCATGGCTGGCCAAAAATTGCTCGCAGGGGAACTCTCTGAGGTAACAAACGTCAAAGACCTCATCCGCTACTTCGATCGACCTCCAAAACCCGATAAACCTCAGCAGACTGAAAACCCATCTCAACGAAATCAGTCTGGCGAGAAACACGGTAGGAGATCATATGAGGAGGGCCATGACAACAACCATCGCAGAGTGAACATGATCATCGGAGAATCACAATACTGCAACGTCTCCGTTTTGGCTATCAAAGAAAACGAGCACAAAGCCGAGAGCGGCGCCAACTCGTCAAACTTGTCCTCGCCCTGTGACTTGTCATAAGAGATCTCGAGGTCGCAAGGATTCTTGTCGACACCGGCAGCACCATCAAGTTTATCTTTCGAGATACCCTCATAAGAATGAACATCCCATTGGGGGAAGTCGTGCCATCACCGAAGCCACTGACCGACTTCTCCGACACAACGTCAATGACCCTCGGGTCGATCAAATTGTCCATTGCAGCAAAAGAGGTGACAAAAATCGTCGACTTCACGGTCGTTGACCACCAAGCCATCTACAACGTCATTATGGGCACCCCTTGGCTCAACAACATGAAGGCAGTCCTATCGACTTACCACTTGGGCATCAAATTCCCGTCAAACAACGAAATCGCCGCAATCTGAGGATGTCAGAAAAAGTCGAGACACTGCCTCCTGGCCGAACACAAGCTCGGAAAAGTAACAACCACCTGATGGTGAAGTCGAAACACCGGAAACTAACTTTAGCATCAACTGAAAACGCCTCGGACGAAAGCGGCTCCGAACCGAAGCTGCGACCAACGAACCGCCAGTTCCAGTGTCCAACACTTCTACCCAACCGGAGGAGACAAACCCGGAGAAAGGCGTCAGCCCTGAAACCGATGCGGTAGACGCGAACGCACCAGCCGATTAAACACACTCGCAAAAAAACTCAAAACTACGAGATGGTTTGATCCCCAAATGGGGTATGTAGACAGCTCGTCAAAAGACAAGTTCAACTATCCCCCTCTCTAAGAAGGGGGGGGAGTGGGTACATATACAAACTATTGTATATTCCCTTATTCTGAAATATTTGCCTTGCACGCAATATTTTTGAAATTTTTACGGAAATAATATTTTACGAAACTTCCTTTACTTCGCAATTAGAAAAAAAAAGAACATGTCTCAGGTTCTCGAAACACCAACGAAAAGTATGTTCCCAAAAATAAGCGAGACGTCACCAAAATTTTCAAAACACGCTCGAAGTCCTTTCGCGACTATAAAATAAAAATGTTCGACAATTGGCCCCGCCGAGCACTCTAGCTGTCCTAAAAAAACACACTTAACCTTTCTTACGAATGGTTCTCTTACATCCGACTAGGATAAATAGCGCGCTATAAAAGAAATCCAAAATTTTGAGCAGCACTTTTGGAGTGCTCGATTCCGACCAGAAAAGTCGTATAAGCCGAGAACATACCGCGGACTTTAAATCGGGTACGAAATCAGGTTGAAATCGCAGCATGCAAAACGAAAGCCGACTAGTCATCGCACAGCCGTAACCAAAAGTAAACCTAGGTCTTGCCATAAACACATCACACAGGTCTCTGACGTCTCATGGCATAAAGTATCGAATGATATAAGATCCTGAAAGCATGTCTCTTCATTCACATCTAAACGCTTGCGAATTTACTTCGCACACCCGAAACGAGCAACGAATAGGACGATCTACAAAAGAGTTAGATACGAGATGAGAACTCGTACTCTTCCCTCTACTTCTAATCAAACAAAAGAAATACTTCAACTCATTCGAAATAGAAACATAAGTTCATAAAACATCGAAAACGTCAAGGGATTCGAAGCCACAAACGGCCAATGCTGATGATCTACATATCGGTCACACTTGGCCCAAATATCAAAAAATAAACGGCCACTCGGCGACACTACTAATTACAAATCGGCCACTCTTGGCCACACATCAGGTCATCAAATCAGAAAACATAAAACCTTCAAATATATTTATAACTATACAAAAATATTTATATTTATACAAAATGTCCATATATCAAATATTTTAAAACTTGAATGGTAATTTCTTTTATTTTGGCAAAGTATATTCAACTTATATTAATTTTGAGAAACAAAAGAAAATAACATTCAATTTTTAAATATTTAAAATAATTTATGGACATTAAATATTATGATGTTTTATCATTATAAAGTAATACTAAAATAATATTATTTAAAAAATGTCCATATAAAAATTATTTTAAAAATTAAGAACCTGAATGTTAATTTCTTTTGTTTCTCAAAATCAAATATAAGTTTAATATACTTTGTCAAAATAAAAGAAATTACCATTCAAGTTTTTATTTTTTAAAATATTTTATATATGGAAATTTGTAAATTGTTGCAAAAAATGAAATATATTTAATTTTGTATAATTATAAATATTTTATTATTTATATTTTAGTATAATATAATTTTATTAAAGATATAATAATTAAAAACATGTTAATATATTTATAAGAATCAAAAATACTAATAACCAAAGTTTAATTAGAGAAGATGAAAAAGCATAGTAGCATATATAATTATAAATTTTTAGTGTTATTTTAAAAAGTTGTTTTAGACTAGTGGTTGATGTGTCTGTTTTAAAGAGTGACAAGGCACGGGTTCGAGTCTTGGAATGTGCATATTCTTTTAAAAAATAATGAAATCAAATGACATTGTTTTATTATTTTAACAGTTGACTAACTTCTGTTACAGTCAATGTAGGTTTATGCACGTTTTAAAAATTTCATGTAGTTTTTTTGAATTATAACGTAGTTTAGGTCGTATTTAGCAATGCCAATTTGTTTGGGTTATATTTAGCACGATTGAAATTGTTGGGTAGGAATAGGCACTTTTCCCATCTAAAATCTGTAGAAACCAAAATCTACACATTACTATAAATCTAAAACCTATATAAATGAAAAGCTACACATTATTATAAATCTAAAAACCTGTAGCGAGTTTTACAAATTTACTGTTACGGATAAGAATAATCAATTCTAAAAATTATGGGAAGAAAATATTTGGAAATATTCAGTTTTCATATATGAAAAATGATTTTTCAGAAAAATAAGAAAATCGTTATTAATTGTAATTATGAATTTAAATTCGTTTACTATTTTATTAGTTATTTTAATTATAATATATATTATAATATTATTTTGTCCTAAATAAATTATAATGATTTATTTGTTGTAATTACGAATTTAAAATTAGAATTTTGATTTATCAATTGTAATTACGAAGGATATTATTGTCATGTTGAAATAATCAGTCTAATGTGATTTAAACTATATGAGATCAGTGTAATGAGACATAGTTATTATTTTTTGACCTAAAAAAATTCCCTTTTTTTGGTTTAGTGTATCATTCTTTGTTTGTCGTTTCATTTGTTCTTTTTTTCTATCAAAAAATGAGAGAGCATCCAAAAATCGGGTGGAGCTTTGATCCTCTCTTATTTTAAAGTCCATTTGGCATTTTCACAATGTGCGCTATACCTTTTACGTTTAAGATTCCGTGTGCACTCATTTTAGAGAATATCTTTCATAATAATAGAATAATAACAAAATAATTAGGATATATATGCTGATTCTTTTGATCGTTATATTTCCTCAAGAAAGATGATAAGCAAAATTATACAACGTGTTTCATGAGGTCGTATATATTTGGATAGTCTGGCTTTATGTCTTGTCTAGATATACTAATTGATAGCTTAATGTCATTTTCATTATTATTTTTCCTGTCTCAAAATAACTCCGCTTTAGGATTTTCTTTTAAGTAAATAAATATATATATATTTTGGAAAAGGCTTTCAAGGTTTTCTTTTAAATATTGCTTTGCGATTTTTGAGATATTCAATAAAAACATCTAATTTTGTTCTTGTGAACATTAATAAACATAATGTACGAATTTCAAAAACTAACTTTCTTCTTCCTGGAGTAGGGTTATAAGAAATGTCAGACCAATACTTAAAAGTAAAGGAGAAAAAATACTGGACACTGCATCTTTTATATTCTGAAAGAAAAAAGATCTCTTTGATACCATGAAGATTAGGTATATATACCTTTTATCTTTTTAACGAACCAATTATCATGACGAGTCATTACTGTACACAGATTAATCGTATTTTGCCTTAACCCTTTACTATGTATAAATAACTCCAAAAAAATATGGATAATTTCACCCTCACACAGACCGACTAAGATTGCTACTACGTTATCTAAAGCCTAAATTGTTATTTTCCATTACATGGCTTCTTCACTAGCCAAATCCAACGACAAAGACAAGAACAAGATCACGATTCGGCAAGAAACGGAAACGCCAGATTTTGTGTCTACTCATCTTTACATCAAACGTATTCCTCCCACGCAAGCACTTGATCGGGACGTCGTTCTAGGACGCATACGCCAACGCCAACGCGCAAGTAAAGTCAGATCAGTATTCCAACTGCTGTTTGGTTTCCCATTTTTAAGTAAAAAGCACGAAGGTTATAACGATCACGATGAAGATGATGCTTTCACAGTGTCTTGAATCTTGGACGAAATATTTGTCATATATTACCTGACATGATGATGTCATAGTTTGTAAATTGTAACTTGTATTGTTGTTTTGTTACCAAGAAGGGGGTTAAGCTAGTGAACAAAACCACTTCAATTTCTCTGGACTGTGATTAGGTGATAATCTTAAATAAACTCAGACTAACATGGGAGAAATGTCAAAGGAATGAAGATGGACGTCAAGTGTTATTCAGCCTTCTTTTTTTTTTTTTGAACAAAGGCATATTATTCAGCCTTCTTTTAAAGCTTATTCTCACTATTTCCCCATTTATACAAACTCTTGGAAGATTCAAAAGTTTTGAACTTTTGAGTGTAAAAGGAAATTGACCATTGAGTTCATAAGAAAGCCTTAATTAAAGGTAGCTAAATGAACATTGCAAACATTGGATAAAAATCTCAAATACATATAGTGACAGTCCCACAGCAAGATTCAATAGTTTTGAGAACACTATAGAGATTTCTGGAAGATGAAATGAGAATTTGTTATTTCTGGAACAATTCTTGTCAAGATTTTTTTTTTACCTAATATCATGGAAAGTTTTAAATTGATCAATAATAATATCAAATCTAAAAATTACGTCCAACAAAATGTTTCTGTTGCTCTCTACTTGAAAAAAGTATTTAGAGATTTTTTTTTTTGAAAATAAGTATTTAGAGATTTTTTTTTTCGCCACAAACTTATCCTTACGGATAAAAATAATTTCTCCATTATTAATATTTGCAAATTTCATACATTATAGTTTAAATATAGATGTTGGTCAGTTGTTGTATTCTCGTCGGGTGTCTGCCAAATTATCGCTGGAAGATAGCCGTTGGTGCAAGTTGAATATGCTAGAGTTCATGTCTGCAACATATCATTTATTCAGTCAACTAGACTTATGCTTCAGATGATAAAAACAGTTCAACCTATACAAATCATGTTGATTATACAAAAAGTGAGATATATGTAGGACAGATAGTTTATGTGAGACAAATACACATCAAACGAATCAAACAGTTTATTATTATTATTTTTAACCCAAAAACAGTTTATTATTATTATGAATGATAAAAGCAGTTCAATGCATGCATATCAAATATTTAAAAAATCAAAATTACAAAAAATTAAAATACTAAACATTTAAAAATCACCTTATCAAAAAGCCTATTATATGAACTATACTCTCTCCGTTCTGTTAAGGTAGATGTCGTTTTCAAATAAAAATGTTTCACAAAAATCGCTTTTTATGTTTCAAAAACATTTTTATTTTTAAAAATTATTATTGGTTTAAAATAATTTGAAACTGAGAAATGCAAAAAAAAATGATGAGTACTAAAAATAATTATAATTTAATTTGTTTTCTTATATGTAAGAAAACACTAGAAAATATATTTTTAAGAATGGAGGTAGTATCAAACTAGAAGATTTATAGTTTTAATGTAAATTTCGTTTTATAGTAATAAATTTAATAAATTTAGGAATATTATAATAATTTTCATGTATACTTTGTTCTATATAATATTATAATATACTTTTAGTATGTTAAGTTAAAATTAAATAATAAATCTTCTTATAGATATAATCTTTATTTTCTGTTTTACATTATTTATCTTCTTTTAATTTGTAAATATATATAGACCACTATATTATATATTTACATGCATATATTATAAGGTAAGAAGAACACTGTAACACCCACATTTTCCAAAATAATAAATAAATAAAAGTGTCTGAAATCTCCATTTATTAAATCGTATAACTCATCTTCAAACTCCATAAATCCATATCACATAATAAATCTTAAAAAAGTATCGATAAAAGCATAAGTCTGAAAATAAATAAATAAAACTCCCAAAAGCACCAGTCCGAAATAATCACACTCGATCGTCAGTATCACCTGAAATGAGGGAAGAAAGAGGGGTGAGTAACAGGGAAGTCACTCAGTGAGGTATGGGATGCTAACCACAAACCACTGACTCAGTACATATCACTATGACTATGTAGGTCTAGCTCTAGCATGAGACAATCACAGTGTCTATTACACCTCACAGAACAATCATATGCCTAGAGCACCATACAACAACAATCAATGCGATGATAGTACATAGTTATTCTCTGCACCCCGCAATCTCCTCATACGGATATACATATATATATATATATATATATATATATTGTACAGGCGTCGCTAGTACGGTAGTCCACTCCGTACCCCCACAATCTCTACGGCGCGCTAGTACAAACGTCTCTGTACCCCGCAATCTCCACACAAGGCGGCGCTAGCTCAGACGTCTATGTGCCCTCGCAATCTCCTCAAACAAGGCGTCGCTAGTACAGACGTCTCTGCACCCCCGTAATCTCACACATGGACTCTTATATATACATATATATAGCATTCTTAACATCAATCATATCATACAACTGTTGAATCCTCTATTATCTTATGTCTGGTTTAACAGTCAACAATTATAAATAACAAAACAAGACTCTCAAACAGACTCAATTCACAAAGACGGAACATGTTTCGAAACTAAACTTTTCATAATAGTAGTACTAAACTAGTTTGGGATTTAAGCGGATTATCCCTCACCTTTGCCACTGGCTGGAATGATCAACGAAAGATTGTCAGCTGAGGTCAACTGCAACATGAGGGAATCAACAACTTAGGCTTAGAGTCTCAGGAAATAAAGTTTCTGAAAATGGAAAACTTTCCTAAAATAGAAACTTTACTAAAATAGAAATTTTCCTAAAATAGCAACTTTCCTAAATAGCAGATTTCCTAAATTTGCGGGTTTCCTAAACTAAAAAATCATCTAACTAGGACTTAACAAAACTAGAAATAGAGAGGCGATAAACTTACCCGAAAAATCTCCCGAAAACATGCTCGGAAGACTCGCCGAAAAAATTACATAGTGACTGGTCGTCGGATAATCTACAACTTTTCACTCGCAAAGCACTGCTTTGACTTGATGAAATACAAGGAAGGGTGAAGTTTATTATATAGGGGAAAGGAAGGGAGGTAAATTTTCTAAACTTCCAATGTGGAACAAAATAACCTAGACATGGATTTTAATTATATAAGTAAATAGGTTCTCCCATGGGTCACGGTCGTTACAAACACATTCATATTTATATCTCTTCATAATAATAAAGTTGCATATTTTTTATAGAGAAAACTGTCATTTAAATACTGAACTTTCACAAATTAGCCAAAACAAATACAGACTTTTCATTAATCCAAATTAATCACAAACTTATGTTGACCGAGCCATACAAGATACATTTTGGGTCAACTGTTTTTGTCGTTAAATTCATGTCTATTTTTCACGGAGATCCTAACGTTGTCGTTAAAAAATAGAACATTATTTACAAAATCCCCAAATTGATACTTTTAGAACCCCAACTCTCCAAATCGAATTCACCTCTTCATCTCTTCTTTGCAACCCGATTTCATCTTCTCCATGAGTGTAAAACCACAAATCAATTTTTACATGATGAAACACCAAAGTTTCCTATGCGTAGAGCCAGAGCTAGAGAGCGTGAAACTCCACTGGTTTTTGAAGGTGATGAAATAGCGTCAAGTGCAATTGTGAAACTATTGCTGATGATCCTGGTGATGAGGTCGAAGAAGAAACGAACGAGGTTGATGAAGAAGAAGAAAGAAATGAGGTGGAAGAAGAAGAAAATGAGGAAGAAGGCGTAAGAATTGATAAGAAGCTTGTGAGGTTTAATCATGGAGTGATGGAGAAGATAACCATGACAGCAGAAAAGAGGATTGCTGGACAGACGTTAATATACATGACCATGTATCATCTGATGATGAGTCATGTAGAATGCATGTTTCAGACTTGGAATCTCCAACTCTCTTGTTGTTTTAAACTTTCTTGAATTCCTTTTTTTTTTTTGTTTCATGACAAACTTGCATTTGTTAGTTTTCAATGCGTCTTTAGTGAATCAAAGACAATGAAAATAAGAGGAACAATATCAAGGATATAAGTGCTCACATATAAACATAGATTAATTGTCTTACAAATGAAATAAAGATGCAACAATAAGGTCTTACAGAAAGAGACAAAGAAAAGTTTAATAGAAACAGTCTGAAACTGTCTCGAGACAAAATATAGAAGGGCTTAAGAGATGAGATAGGCAATTGTGATTACAACCAACATAAAACAAAAGATTCCATAACATGTCTCAGTGATGAGTTTCCACTTTCTCATCTAAACTTCGTCGAAAAACATCAGCTGTTAAGTCATCAATCACCTTGTTCAAGCAACCAATCTAGCCTTTTATATTGAAATCTTAAATTGAATGTTTTCAAGCTTTGGAAGTGAATCTTTAATCTCTTGAAGCAATGATTCTTCTACCCACAAACACACATCGATGGCAAACTTCCTCTTTCCAAAATCTAGTTTTTCCAACGGGATCAAACTCATCTCTTTCCCTTGATTCTTGGTTGAATTATGAAGAGATGAAAACTGAAAGCAAGTCGCAGAGAAGAGAATAAGAGTGAATTTGAATTAGGGAATTTTTATAACTTTGTTATGTTTTGAAAAACCACCGACAGCCTCCGTGAAGAGTTAACGGAGATTTGATGACAAAAATAATTGACTGAAAGTGTATCTCTTATGTCTTAGTCAATATAAGTTTGTTATTTATCTGGATTAGTGAAAAGTTTGTATTTATTTTGGCCAATTTGTGAAAGTTCAGTATTTAAATGACAGTTTTCTCATTTTTTATAGTGTACTTGGCAATATAAATATTTTAACTTTCGCGGACAAATTTTTCTTAGTAAATGTGCCCATAGAAAACACTAATAATTGTCGAAAGGTAGCAAAACTTCTTTAATAATATAATCAGCCAATTTGTAGCTCACAAGTAAGTTGTTCGGGCTCTTCTGTTATTGTCGCTGAGTCCAAATAAATTATAAGCCCTCGCTGAAATAGCTAAAGAAATATGATAGCTGCCCATATTTCTTAAATCGAGGAAGATTCAAAAAGATATATGAACTTAAAATCCAATAGGTGAACAATAGTGACGTATGAACTTACTAAGAACATAATTAATGGATATGGTGAGAGTTCTTAGTGAAATATAAGAAACTGTTTTTTAACTTTTAACTAAAAATTAAGAACCGACTCTTTAATAATGCATAAGAATTATGACTAATTCGTAACCCCCATCAATTCAGCTCCCCCACCAACTTAAATCGACGGCTTAACTCATCTGAGTTATTTACTGCATTAATGACTCCCACGATCATGTCTTCAATTCCGGATTGCTTAGCTTCTCTATCAAACGGAAGCTGCATCTATAT